TCAATTCCACCAAGTGTTTTTCTGATATCGAACAAAAAGCTTCTTATAAAAATCCATTGGCCTTTCGGCTGCTGCTTAGAATAAATTGTGGGTCCTTTCGATTGCTGGAGGCACTCGACCGAATACCGCTTCACCGATTACAAAGGGCCAAATACAAAGGCTGTTTGATGGGTCAGTGACTTTTTGAATTTGCCGCACCGGAAAATCCCTGAAATAATATAGGACGATCGGAAGATCAAAATGCGTGAGAAGACTAAAGTTATAGGCATCTCAACTGAGACTATTTGGATGCGATTTCTTACACACCCCCACTTCAAAGGTAAGTTTAGCGGCGATAAAGTGAAAGAAATTTCTTTAGCGTTTTGTTACCGTAGATCCAACATGGATCAATCATATCACAGCAAAAACCAAAGCACAATCAATGCAGTGGGTTTCTCCGAGTGAGCGTTAGTGCACGCGGGTGACTAGAAGGTCTACTACTTCTTCGTTGATTTTAAAGCCCCCACAGCAAACAGAGGAGCTGCCTTTATGGCACTATGTCTGCGTTTGGTATCCCCGCAAAGCCTATACGACTATGTTAACTGGCCTTAAGCAACACAAAAAGCTCCAAACGAGGTTTCAGACTTATTGCTGGATAAAATAATACGAGGTGCAGAACTGAATAGAGAAGGTATAATCTTCAAGAGAAGAACGAAGGTATGGTAGAGAACGAGGGCCAGACGAAATATCTCCTGTCATCAAACAAATCGTCATCGCATTCGCAATTCGGCTACCACGTCCCTGTTGGCAGTCATAACTTCGAACTGTAAGAAAAGTAAAGTCCTCTCTTAACGAACGAAGGCCATACTCTACGAGTTCCTCATCGTCCCCTTCTTGATATATGGTGTGGAGGCATGGACGATGACAGCATTCAATGAGTCGGCTTTAATAGTCTTCGATATGCCAATAGAATGGTGGATTGTATGAGATATACGGTGACATTGACATAGATCAGCGAATCGAGAAACAGCGGCTGCGCTGCCTGTTTAATGTGGTCTGGATGGATAAGAACACTCCAGCTCTGAAAGTAGAGAGGGAACTGGCTCTACTTGGTATCTCCAATTGGCGCCAAGTAGCGAGAAAAAAGAATGAATAGCGCGATGTTATAAATTCAGGTAAAATCGCGTATGCGGTATTTACGCCAGAAAGGTAAGTGAGTAACTAAATGCATTTATTTTCGACAATTAGAACTCTACATTATGTGTCCAGGGTCCAGGGCGCTAATTTTACTACATTCACTGATTTTAAAGTAGGTGCAACTCGTACCGAAGTCAATAATGGAGACTTCCTAACATGATTCGCCATTATATAGCGCCCGAATTCTCATCAGACTGTTCACCTTCTTATCAGCCGCACAATTTCCTGGGATGTCTCTGTGACGTTTTGCAAACAATCGCAAGTTTGTTCCAAGTATCTGCAGTTAGTTCTGCACACACATCTGACGGACATAGCACATACTCGTACATATGTCTTTTACTAAAAATTACGTAACTAATTTACTGCCCATAGTGGCTACCAAGAAACCGCATGTAAAAAGCTGCTAAAAATGTTTGTTCGAACAATAAAAATGTTAATAAACTCAATAAAAAACATGAGAACTCAGCACGACATAAAAGGAAAAGTGAAATATAATTAATTTAATATACTAACGGTATAAGCACGAAATACCAACAGTTTGAACTGGTGAGCGATAGCTGCAGCTTAATTTCCTGGCTCGCTTAATGCGATAAGATTTTGAGGTTTATTGCATACACGACCACTACGCTTACTATTTTAGTAACAACTTTAAGTTATTTTTATATATAAATCGCATTTAATTATGCAACAATTGGAATTGTGCTGCCTAAGCACCTGACCACTACCATCTTCCACCTTATAACGCAGAGCAGGGTGGACCCTTTCAGGTGGTTAACGTCATCATGCCATCTGTCGTGGGCGAAGCTCGTAAATTAGCTGTGCGATAATCAAAAATCGTAAATCAGCGAAATTGTGCCCGCTGGACCGGCGGCGATCCTTGTAAAGTGGGAAATAACGGTACGTTGACGCTCTTGTCATAGCGACACATTCCACATTCCACCTGCCGCTAACGCCGTAGGCAATACATGCAGCACACAGGTGTTGAGTTCACGCGCCCGCGTTGGTTTGGATTTGAAAAAAATATGCACAAAACGACAAAAAGCAATAAAAATTATATGTTTACATGTAAAAACAAATGGCCTAAGTACGAGTGGCAAGAATTCGTATAAAATGCTTCACATTGAATTTAATTGTTTCGTAGCCAACAAAAGCGGCGTTTATGATTAGCATTTATTAGCATTTTAAGTGCGCTTAGGCTGCTCGGGAAGCGAAATTATTTTGTGCCGGCTGATTACATACATGCATATAGCAAAGCTGTGTACTGCTTTAAGAAAACAGATGGATAAATATAACTTTGTATGTGTATTTCTTAGTAAATATTTCCGAAGTGTTCATATTTTGATGTAAGATTTTTTTCTTTAATTTCAGCAAATTTTCAAATTACGTTAGAAAGTAAAATTACGATATTTCATAAGATTAACTTTTACATCTATAATTTTTTTAAGTATCTGGGTGACATGTCCGTCTTTTCGTATGTTTGCCGGCAAACTGGTTCCTAAGTTTTTGAGATATTTTAACCATCCCTGGTATTCAAAATATTGTTACATTAAAACGATCACCTGCCGGAGCCTTTACAGTATATAGACATATGACCGGTTTCCCAGATTTTAGTTATTAAGCCGTAAAAGCATCTTAGGCCGTGAAATTTGCAGTTTTACATTCTTATCTACGTACAAGTAAATATTGTAACCGAAAGTCATCGAAATCGGAGGAGAACTAAAGTGGTTATTCAAACATTAGAATTAAAATCAAATCCTAAAAGGAAATACCATATATATCCTATAGTCAAATTGTTTAGTTTAATATTGTATTTACTGTTGCTCATTCATCACGCGATACCTCTGAACCATATACATAAATATATACATATGGTTTGGTACTTTGCAACTGCTGGAGTGACCTTCAATTTTTTCTGAGCGCCTCCGAACGACCGATTGCAGTACGCAATGCTAAAAATTTTTTTTTTCTTTTTTGTCAACGACGAACCCAGCGGTGCCCACCTCACGCCCAACCGACCCAGGGGCGCGTCTTAGAGTTAATCGAAAAGCTAACAGACCGGTGACCGAAAACCAGTAACAGTCCGGACTGCCCTGAACGCGAAACCGTTCGCGGAATGTCGCGGTTACACTTTCCTTCTACACTAAACAGCTACAGATTTGTTCATCAGCTGCTATAAAATTGCAGAAAAGCGAGTCAGAGCAATCAATGTTGGTGGAATGTGTATTAAAATCGTTACATAAAAATCTGAAAGGATCGAGCAATGCAAAGTTTGTTCTGCATGAGCCCAATGAAAAGACCTAAAGTTTCTAGATGACCTTAAAGAGATGGTGAAGTTAAGCTCGCTAAGTTGGAATGGGTTGTTCAACTGGCCACGGCTGAGGCAGAAGACACTTTAATGTTTCAGCCCATTCATATAGTATGTATAAGTATGTGTGTATGAATTGCAACGGCATCGTTTTCGAAACAGCATGCAATTGTCAACCAAGGGGCGCAAACAGTCAAAGCCACTTTTAACGATCATGGTTATTCATAAATACCATATTCATACATACACACTGAGATATGTACGAGTTTGTATGTACATATATATCTAAAACAAGTCCAACACATAGCTGAATGCGATAGTAAAAGCAAAGTGCCGCCGGGAGCCATGCCAAGTGATAAAAACAAAATAAAATAAATTGTCAAATTCAAGTCTCAAGAATTCTACATTTCTGGCATTCAAGAAAAAACCTATATCAAACTTTTGGAACAATTGAAATCTGATATATAAATGCATATATACATATGTATATATTTATATTCCATTTATACATATATTTCATTCTTTTTGTTTGCGCCATTGAATAGCTGGTTAAAGTTATGGAATATTAGAGAAGCGTCGAGACGCAGCAGGATGTTGGATAGCATAGTCGGCAACAGATAAATAAATTCAAGAGCTTGTCCACAATGTACGAGAATGTATGCATGTAAGTGTGTGCATATATATGTGTGTGTAAATTTTGCCTTTAAGCTCTAAGTTGCCAAGAATTTTCAACGATATTATTTCTTTGTAATTGTCAAGCATTAAACTTTAGCACTACAATGAGACTGTCAGTGAGCATACTTTTAGGTTATGTTGAATCTTTTTTCAACAAATAGTATTTTATTGACATTAAAAATATATATGAAAATAGATAACAGTTTATTGAATATTAGTGTATAAATTCATATTTTTCCGTCTAACCTCGGGCGAAATTATTAATTTAGTAAGGGGATTATTCAAAAGAGCAAAAAAATATTTGGATTATCTTAAAAACAATAGAGATTACTGAAAAACAATGTATTAAGTATATTTATGAAGCTAAAATTTTAGTAAAATGAAGTTTTAAAAATTATATTATATGTACTGTATATACACTGGTGTATGTAAAGTATGGCAACACTTGTGAGTAAGAAAGCTTGTGTCGACCCATCTCGAAGTTAGAGGTAAGCCGACAGCCGACATAATCAGCCGAATAGCAGCTGGGCAGAATTTGAGATTCACTTTACTTTCTTTATCACTTAAACTCATAATACTCTACTTTAATAATTTGTTACTGAAATACATTATTATATATCTATATATATAAATCTAAGTATGTAGGCTGTAGAACTCTGTTTTAGGCACAGGGGCCAAATCAGAGAAATTTTCATAACTGACTCACTCGAACTCGTCTAAGCGAGATAGTAATCTGTAGGCTAACTCCGATGATTCTAACAAATCTAACGGTCAGTGATGAATATTTAATGAGATATAAAATTGGACACCCTTTTGGCGACCCAAAAACTGTGATAAGCAGCCCTTATTACGTATTAGTTTATTTCATTTTCTTTCACTTCACATTAGCTTAACATAATAACTGAATTTACATATACATACATATATAAATATAATGTCAATTCCTTAACTAAGCTCTGATTGCGGTTCAGTTTCATCAGTTCTCGTCCGTCGAAATTTCAGATGTTTATCAATATCTACAAAATACGTTGGCGTGGGTCCACGTCCTTTAACATTTGTTATGCCTCTGTATCTACATTTGATCTCATGCTGTTTCAGTATATTTGCCGTTTCCTCGGTAACTTGAATTGTATTCGCCACACCAGTAGAGTCCATGCGCGAGGCCATATTAACAGCATTGCCCCAAATATCATAATGTGGTTTATATAAGCCAACCACACCAGCCATGACGGGACCATTTGCTATACCTTTTAATAACAAACATTTAATTTTTGTTCTATTTACATTTATATTTTTATTACCAATGCGCAGATCACCATTCACTGGATTGTCTTTGTCATTATATAAATTGTGCTTGTTAAATTTACTCATTGCACGCAGGAGACTCATACCGAATCTCGCCATAACAAAGACAACATCATCATCAATTATGGGTTCCTCCTCGTCGTTGAACATACGAACCGATCGGCGACGTGTTATGCTCGTCGCCGAAGCTTTCTCTGAATCCTGAGCCGCACCAAAGAGTTCACTTAGATTCTCCTGTTTGTTTGCTGATCCTTTTTCTTTATCGGCAAACTCACCCACACTCTCCCGACGAAAGTTTAAAGCGAATGAGAATGTACTTGAATGCCTCTCCACTGAACCGCGGTGCCCCGTCCCGGTTGTATTGAGACCACACGCCGCCATATAGGTCCAGCCGGCGACTTTAATTTTTTCAATTTTATACACACCCTTAAATGTGCTCAACTGTAGGTTTAGAAACCGTTCATTACTTATACATGCTTATATGAACATAACTAGAATTCAGTTACCACTCCATCGAAGTCACAGATGATTTCGTTCAGAACACGCATACCCACAACTTCGATGTCAAAATTAAGAATTGTGGCAAATAGGACAGCTACGTTCGAGTACTCTTCGTAATAGAGTTTATTGCTCAACTGATTGTCCATATAAATGTCAACTGCAAAGGGAATTAGAAGTTATTCTTACAGACTTTCTTACATATGTAGGCGCAGCTATGACTTTGCACTCCAACAGTTTACACAGGCCCATAGAGCTTTCGGTCCTCTGCGCATTGCTAAACGTGCAGCTGAAGTTGGTTTAACGATGAGGTGAAGGGACAACGTCTAGGTAATGTGGTCCGAATGGATGAGAACTCTCCAGCTATAATAGTTTTAGATGCAGTATGCGCCAATGGAAGCAGGGGTAGAAGAAGATATCCCCTCTATAGGACAAAACAGATGGGGAAGGACCTGACTACAATTGGTATTTCAAATAGGCGAAAAAAGGAAAGAACGATGCACTGTTGTTGACTCGGCTATAACCACAAAAGCAGTATATACGTCAGTATGTACAGAGAAAAAGTAAAGTATTCCATACAAATTGTCGCAGATTGTGTGATTCCTCTTATTACCGGTTGAGCAGATTACATTCAGATGGCAATGTTGTTGTATTTCAGGGAATATTTTTGCATTTAGTGCAATAATGCAGATTGAAATCGTAGGCCATGCTTTTTCATCACCATTCTTTGTGTATATCACGGCCGGTAGATTATTGTTCTTCGGTCATGCGGTTGCTTCTAAAATTTTATAATCAATGCCAGTTTATTGGTGATACATTTTAGTGGGCTTAAGAAGTGTTCTGAATATCCTGTCGTTCCTACAAAAAAAAAAAGCTTCGGTCTTGAAACTAACTGTAGGCCGACTAATTTTTTACTCTTATTTGGAACATTCCTCCTGCTCTCAAGTCCTTCGTAGTCAAACACCTTCTCACTTGCCCTCTCTGTATCTTTCTGAACTCCCAATATATATCTCATACGACTGGCAAATGATACCAACTTTGCGAGGCAGAGAAACTTTTCTCTCTGCTGTAAGGCGGCGTTCTCATCGTAGTAAATAGGAAATACCGTCTCTCTACTAAAGAAAACTAAATTTTAGATCTCACCAATGTGTGTCGGTAGAATGTTGCCAACTAATCGAGATATCGTTTCATTGGTTAATTTGGCATTTTCCTGTTTTTTCTTCAATTCACGTTTCCAACTGGAATATATTCAGAATAAATTATGAAATTAAAAAAGAAGGACGAAAATCCCAGCAATAAAAAGTACAATTTCTACTTACTAGTAATCCACTCTGGCAATGAACTCTTTCTGGCGACTAATCAAGTGAAAGGCAACCAACGATATACACGATACAAATATATGAGTATACTCTGGGAGGATATTGATATTCGTACTAGAGCTACGCTCGTAGATGAAATCATACAAAAGCAGTATAATAGTAATATAGGTCATGAGTATTATGAGGCCAACGCACATCTTTATGATATAAGTTATGCCGGAAAATAAGAAACTGATAAGCAAACTCATTACAATGCACTCAGTAACGGCCTATAAGTGTAGAAAAATATCAAAAAAACACTTTCGAATTTTATTATTCAAAATTATATGAAACTAACCCACGTATCAAAGCACAAGGTGTTTTTGGTGCCATCATCAAAAAGCAGCACTTCGATCTCCTCGTTCTCAACTTGGAAGCGATTACAATCTAACTAAAAGAATGTAGTTTAGAATAGCAAGCATTTTCTTAAATATAAATTAGTAATTAATTTTTTGTCTTGTGTGATCTAGATACTTGTTCTAATGTCTACGTGTGGAAGGTATTTATAAAACGATTTTTTACCATGTTAATTAGCGTATAGCACAATTGCAGCGCTAAAATGCCCAGATATATAGAAATACGTATGGACAGCTCCTTCTGCGAGGCTTCCGATACCCAATACATCCATCTGCCGAATTTATTTCGAGGTCTTATGTGAAACCACTCCTTGCGACACATCTCCCAGATTCTCTTATACCAAACCAAGCATAAAATGAGTAACATGCAAATATTGCCGACTAATACCAAAATCCAAAACAAAATGCTTTGCCTACAAAATATAGAGAATTGAAATAATAATTTAATGAAATAAAATAAGTTACGTGATCTTCTACTTACGGCGCTGTAATGGTCTGTATTGCAATTGTACTCAACATAACAATATACGACACCAGCACACTATATTTGAGTTGCACATCCGGCTGTATTAGGTAGTTGTGTTCCCATCGCCAATTCTTGAAGCACATAAACAACCAAGAGAAATTCACACGAAAATTGTGCTCTTCGCGCTCGAAACGAGAGAGATGTTGCGTTTTGCCGAAAAAAATTCTGTGAAGCCTGGAAATAGATATGGAAATATAACTTCTTAAAAAAAATTAATAAAGCTTGCGTTCTAAATCAAATAAACGAGTTTCCAGTTCAGCTCAATAGTTACTGTAAAGTTTCGACCGGTATTGTAATGCTCTCTCGGCGCATTTCTAAATTCACCATCTTCTGTATTACATCAACCGAATAAACTGACTTCAGATCCTACGATCGTGAGAAAATAGAAAAATAAATAAATATTTACATGAGATATTTAATATAATTACTAACCTGAAAAGAACTCATCGATGAGCTACGCAGAAGGGAGAGTTTATTAATTAAACCACTGGCACTTGAAGCCACAGGACGTGTCTAAAAACGAAAATGAAGCAAAACTCACTTAACTCAATTGCGATAATAGCCAGCCCACAGTTCACTGAGCGGACACTCTATGTGTCTGGGATAGCGCAAGACGCTAATAACACTCGTGGCAGTACAGAAAATTAAATTTACCTCTGTCATCGACACAATTAGAAACGTTTTTACGCTATGCAGTTGTAACAGTTTATCTGTTAGCGCTTTTTCGGTTCCCTGTTCATATTTGAACTGATTGTTCAAAAGCTCCAACGTGTCATCGCTGATATGCACTCGACCAGGCACACCGGTACTCTCGAGACGATTGGCGATCTCCACATCCTTCGAATAAATATCAAATTTCCATTTCTTTGCGCCGATGACACCAGTAAAAACGCTGCCTGAATGCACGCCAACGCGTATGTCCATTTCGAGATGTCGTGCATCTCTACGAACGTAAAACAAATGAGTAAAAATTTGGAAATAGATAAGTAAAATATAGGAATGAATATCTTGAATACCTTTCTCTATGTATCTCCTTTATCATGCGTAAACCAAGTTTCACACAACTGGCCGCATGCTCTTCATTGGGTATCGAAACATTAGCTACACAGTAATAACAATCACCCAAAAACTGTATTCTCAAAACGTCCAACTCCTAGAAATATGCAAAGATACAATATGTTTTCGAGATCCTTAAGGGAAATAACGCTGTGACCTACCAGTGCCGCATCATCGAATTTAACGTAGAGATCATGTAGTGTTTCCACGAGTGTCTTCACATCCAAAGTGGTTGTTAGTTTGGTATAGTTGACCATGTCCGCATAGAGAATTGTCACATCATTGTGGGTTTCAATGAAGAGCTTTCTATGCAACAATCTAAAAGTGGATTGAAAATAATTCTATATTTTTTTATTTACAACGTTTAAGTAGTATTAATTATTCGAAGAAGTGCTAGCCTTAGGTATCAGAAGATTATAGCACTTCTTCAAGTGCAGGCATAAAGGAAATCATTCAAATGATCAGTGATTGTTCCACCAACTTAAAAGGCCATATTAATTAAAATTTTCCCTCATCTTGAAAATTTGAAATATTATTTATATATTCCCAAATACTTAATAATTTCCCCCAATTCGTTTCCAAGAGCAATAGACTTTAATACTGTATTTACTCACTCAGATTCTCTGGCGTATATGGACCTACGGCGTACCGTTGTGGATCGTGAGAGTCGCAACATTATATCCTCTTCTATTTTATCAGCAATTTGTGCGGGTATCATACTCAACAAAAGTATTTTCTGAAAAAATAAAATAAAAAATGAATAAAAATATAATAATCTGACCAAAAATTTGTCGAGAAGAAAGTAGTAATGAAGTAGTTTTTAATAAATAGCATCCTTCCGCTCACACTCACCTCCTGAGTTTTTGCTGCTTGCAGCAAAAGGTCCTCCTCAACGCATTGGCGCTTATCGATGAACGTACGGCGTATGGCTAACTCACATAGAAGTCGGAAAAATAGTCCCAGCAAATTGATCGCCGACATGAATATCACCTCGGATATAACCTTTTCCTCTTCAAAATTCTCATTGCCATCAATATTTATCCGATAAATAACCAAATGAAACATTATGAAATAGGCAACTGAGACTACTATGCCCAACATCAACGGGAAGACATTATTTGAAAATGGCATAAATATGTAAATTGAAGATATAATGAAGCTATAATATAACGGTATGGTGGTATCATATTGGTTGACAGCGTGAAGAACTGGAACTGCGATATCTGTAAGGAAATTGCGCAGTATAATATGTATGTATATGATTCTACAATGTTACAAGGTAAGTTCGGGGAAAAATCGTTCGACTTATTCTTTTCTCACCCATCATACTAAGCAGCAACACGCCTAAAAACTTTATATGCGAAATCCCAGTGATCTTTGCAATAGATTTTTTCCAAACGCTGAAAAATAAAATGACGACAGCGGCAAACGTAAACCCGATGTATATGCATATGTCAATTGTTGCCTGTAATTTCGTTTTTTTTAGCAGTTTTTGAATGAAAAAAAATAAATATATATAATAATATATATACAATGTATTTTTTTACCTTTTTAAATGGCATCAGCATTAAGCAGTAAATTGTTGTGATGACCACCAGCACAGCTAAGAATGTGTATAACTGATTTCTGCGCAAGCGTTTCATATAAGTGTTGTAGACTTTTTCCACGTCAAGTTTTTTGCATTGTTCCTTTGAATAAAATTCGAAATTTGTTTGGAATATTTTTTTTTTATTTCACCATGAAATGAATTATTACCCTTAATACATTCAACTCAAATTTGCCCCCGAACTGAAATGTTACATCGTCTAATATGGTGCCAGCGGTCACTGAAAGCTTACGACTTTTCTCGTAATTTGAATACATTTCTGGTTATGTTTCTATTTTTATTTTTTCATGTCTTTTTTCTGTTTTTTTTTTTTTTTTTTTTTTTTTTTAAATAATATTTAACGAAGAATTGTTCCGTCAGTCTTAATAAAAATTTTCAATATTCTTATTGCCTTTTCTTTCAATTTTTTCTTTCGTTTTTATGCAACGTTCACATTCCTTCCTGTAGGAAAAAACATTTATTTACTGGAGGAAAAGTAGCAAACTTTTAACATATATTAATAGATAGATAATTGATAATAGATAGATAAAATAGATCCTCAGTGACCAATCCACCTTGGTTTTGGGGTTTGGGATGCTTAGGTAGAGATCCAAAAATGAAAAGTAATACTGTGAAATCGAAGTAAGGCAAAGGAAAATGTAGAAGACAATCTGGGGCTCATTTCAATGCGGGCTTATTCTACTCGTGTATATTAAACTTTCAATCATAAACACTTTTTCTTCACACGTGGAGAGGAGTTAACGAGGGTTGAGTTGGAATCAGCTAATTTGAAATTTCGATACAGAGTTTCTTGCCAAAAATATAATAATTTACCTCAAATTTTACCAAAATTTAGTAAAGCTCTCCTTCTCAGCCCTGATATTGACTCCATTCTGAGTTCACCACGATCAGAACATGTGCGACGTGTGACAACTAAGTAATCAGACCGTGTATATTGTCGCGTTTGTGGTACCCTGCGATCTTGCTGAGTTGTATTGAGTAAAGGTGTGTTTGTAGTGCTCGAAACTAAAATGGAAGAAGTGAAATCAGGAGCAACGCGTCGTGATAAATTTTTGCGCCAAATACGCTAAAATGGTAAAACTTCATGGTGATAGTTCTCTTAGTAGTGCCCAGGTGTTTCGATGGCAAAAAGAGCTTAAGAAGGGGTATGAAAGCGTGGAAGACAAGGCGTGGAAAAGTATTATTATTGCTTTTTTTGATAGCCATGGAATGGTCCAGAAAGAACTTCTTCCACCGAGGCAAACAGACATCGCTCGTAACTGGATCTTTCATTACGATAACGTGCCGTGCCACATCGCCCTCAGCATATTGCAACAGCCGCCTTATTCTCCCGATATGTCACCCTTTGACTTTTTTCCTAGAACAAAATCGATGGCCAAAGGAACGCAATTTGAGTCGATTGAGGACATCCAGATGGCCGTGAATCGTTTTATAGCTGACCATGGAAACTAATTTGAAGGAGATGGAAGATTTGTCTATGGGATCAGCTTCATTACTTATTTTTCACACCTCGTATATGTACATTCAAGCATACGATTATATTTTTAAGAGGAGGAGCTCGGCCGAGAATCGCATCAGCGATTACAAAGCGCGAATTATATATATACGACTCTATACAGGAGTTAATATTTCAGAAAAATAAAAGAGATGCTTCTAATTATTGAAAAATGATTTCCAAAAAGATATGAAGGCGTGTCCCCTTCCAAAATATTCCTAGATTTTCTTTGCCACTTTCTATATCACTAAAAATGTCTTCTCTTTTTTACATTTACGTAGATGCATGTTGTGGCTCCAAGTCTATTGAAAATTGTGTCTTCAATTTTTCTCCCGGTTTCCAAGCTGAGAAAAACAATATGGAAAACGTGTGGGCTAATTTTAAAATAAAAAAAATCGATTAAACCGTGGGCCACACATAGTACATAAATGACGCTTTCTTTTTCTTTAGAATTAAGCTGTTTAACTGTCATAATCTCTTGTTTAGAAGCTTATGTGTTTTTGGGCTAGAAGTGACAATGGTTCAAAAAATAAGCAAATTTTTCCTTTGAGCTCTTAAATTTTATTCTCTTTGGTATTCGAATGCGTTTATTTTCTCACAAATCATATTTACTTTAAGCATTTACAAATATTACTTAAGTTATTTTAGTTTAATGTATATATGTATATATATTTATTGCTTTGCAAGATATCTAAGTTACCGCCTCATCCGTGCGTTGCTGAACGAATTGGAAGTCATCGTCAATTTCAACAAAATACGTGGGTATATAGTCGAGACCTTTCGCGAACGTCATTCCCCTGAAAGTACATTGAACGTCGTAACTCATCAAAATATTTGCCGTTTCTTCAGGGACTTGTATACAATTTTCCAATCCCGTAGAATCCATTCTCGATGCTAAATTAACAGCATTTCCCCAAATATCGTAAAATGGTTTATATAGACCAACAACGCCAGCCATGACTGGGCCATTGGCTATGCCTTTGAGAAAATATGTTTTAAATAATATAATATTTAATTATTGTATGGTACATGTATATATATATATATATATATTTGTATCGTAGGTTATAAGGAAAAATAATTGTTAAATTGAATTCGCTGCTCTCAACTTGGAAGCAGAATTACTTTTCCCACCACACTTGCGATGTCTACCAAATAAGTTAAGCGTTTGTCAAAGTATGCATATTACCAATACGTAAAGCACCTTGGGTACGCTTGTCATCACTTTGTATGTTTTCTTCATTGAATTGTCTCATTTTCTTCATCAGATCCAAAGCAAATCTCATCATAACGAAAACTACGTCGTTGCTTAAGCCCACTTCCCGCAACGCTACGGGAGCCTGTAGCTCACTGTTCCCGGAAATCTCACTTGCCGAAGCAGCCAACTTAAAATCGCTTTCTACGGCATATCAAAATAAAATCTATTTCGAAAGAGCAAAGTGAGGACCAAACGCTACCTTTATTTTCAAGATTCGAGCGATTTCTCTTAATGATTGAATTAGTGGAACTCAAACCACAGGCAGCCATATACGTCCAATTAGCCACCTTAATTTTTTCGATCTTATTGAAGCCTTGGTAGGTGCTTAGCTAATCTCCAAAAAATTAGTAATAACAAAAGTGTCGTTGACAATTTTTTAATAAATATTTCTATTCTCACCACTTCATCAAAGTCGCAAATGATTTCATTCAGAACGCGCATTCCAACCTGTTCGGTGTCGTAATTTCGAATTGTGGCGAACATGACTGCCACGTTTTGGTATTCCTCATAGCAGAGTTCACTGGCGAGATGGTCCTTCATGTAAATATTCACTAAGAGAAGGAAAAAGAAATGAAATAAATGACATAAACCCAAAAGGTATAGAAGCCATTAAACACTCACCAATATGAGCTGGCAAAATGTTGCCTATCAAAATGGAAATTGTTTCATTTGTAAATTTGGCATTATCTTTTTTCTTTCTCAACTCGTGTTTCCAGCTGTAATACGTGACATTGTGTATGAAAGGAATTGATTTATATTTATATATGATAATAATTTTCTTTCGAAATACTCACTTAAAGTCCATGCGTGAGATAAATTCAATTTCTCTATTCATTATATGAAATATCCAAGCAACTCTGCACAGCTCCATAAAGTGCACATATTGCGGCAGGAAATATGGATTGGAGCTGGTGCTATATTCGAACATGAAATCATATACCACAAATACTACTATAATATGGAATATTAAGACCACAAGCGCGATAATCCATTTCAAGACGTAAGAAATGTGCGTGAATAAAAATATAATGCCAATTGTAAGGTCCATGGCATGTGTGATGGCCTGAAATATATGTACATTTCATTTTAGTTTTTATGTATAATTAAAATAATATATAAAAATTTAAATTAATTTACCTATATACAAATAACTTTATTTAAATTATTATTATTATAAAAAACTAAACTTTTCGTTTTCTAGATCAAAATAACTCAAAACTACAGAAAAAACATTAAGCACGCTTTTCCAAAGTGTTAAATTGTGCCTGTTTCTCACTTAAATAGCAAAAATAAAGTTTATTTGAAATACAGATTAGATTACTTACCCATGGGGTAAAGCATATCTCATTTATATCAGCGCCATAAGCATGAGTTTCCATAATGTCATTTATAACTTGAAACTGACTGCAATCTAGCTGAAGAAAATGTGTTAGAGCCCTTGCACCGGAATAATAAATGTAATATCTGTATATAACACACAGCGACACAGACATATGTATTTAATATATTTTATTTCGTTTTATTTCACTTTCAACTTTTTATTTATTTTTTATTTTGCTTTAATTTTATTTTATTTTTTTTAAATTATTTTATTTCATTTTATTTATTTTATTTTATTTTATTTCATTTTAATTTATTTAATAAACCATTTTTTTTTAATTTTATTTAGTTAATTTTTTTTCAATTATGCTATGATTAAATACATATGTGTGGTGGTTGTATGCGAAAGACTTCATTTGCATACCAATTCCACACAAATGAGTGCAATTTGCAGCAAAATTATTGTTACATAGACGAGTGTACGAAATTTGAAGTTTTTTTGTGCTTTGTCGGAAAGCTTAAAGAGAAAAAGACTGACTTTTTTCCTAGGCTTCGGTATAAACATTGTAGCGAAGAAGAATGACCAAACTTTCCGATACCACAACATAGCCAAAATTAGTAAGAAGAGAAAATTGCCAATTGCTGATAGCTCCCAAAATATATTCGCTTGCCTGGAAAAAAAATTCGTGAAGGTAAGAAGAAAAGATGATTACGTTTTATGGTAGCATATTTACTTCATATTAAAATAGAGCAGTATTACTGTTCCACAAAAAACTATGTAAGACACGAGCACACTATATTTGTGTAGAATATCCGACTGTTGCATATAACTAAACTCCCAACGCCAGTTCTTATACCACATAAACAACCACGAAATGTTCTCATAAAAGTGTTGCTTTGCACTTTCAGACCCTCTCTCTCGTACATGTGAACCGAATACTAGCCTCTTATACCTATGTAATTAATACTGAGGAGTTAGTTGAGTGATTTTGACTGAAATCAATGGCTTACTGTTGCACGAAACCGATTATTGGAAACCTGTTACTCTCTTGACTCATCCCATTATGGATCATGGTTCTCATTCTTTCAAAAGAATCTACCTCTTTAACGTTCTGTTTAAAGATTGATTATTATTTGGTTTTCACTATTCATTTTGATTTTATAATATTTTTAACGTCATACTTGCCTCTTCAGAAAATTCAGCTCTCACAAATACCGAACGTCGCGTAATTAAATTGTTTTCGATTTCCTATATAGGACAATACAAAAAACCACAATATTTTTAGTAAAACAAACTTATACTTACATTGGGCGTAACAATTAAGAATGTCGTTATTTGATGTTTTCGCAAAAGCGCATCATCTAACGCCACTTTGGTGCCAGGCTCGTATTGAAACCGATTATCCAATCGATCCAGCGTCTCTTTGCTAATGTGTACTCTGCCTGGGATGCCAGTGCTCTCTAAACGATTAGCGATTTCAACATCTTTGGAGTAAATATCAAACTGCCATTTGCTTGCGCCAATAACGCCAGAGAGGACGCTACCCGAATGCACGCCGATACGCATATCGATACCTCTATTTCTACTATTTCTGTAGGGTTTAGTTTAGATTTGTTTATAAAGTGTTGAAAAATTCTTAAAATAACAACAACAATATATATAATCACCCCACTTCACGTATGTCTTTGATCATTCGCAGACCAAGCTTTACACACGATTTTGCATGTTCTTCGTTAGGTATCGAAACATTCGCCACACAGTAATAGCAATCACCTAAAAACTGTATTCTCAAAACATCTAATTCCTGCTTCCAAAGCATTTAATTATTAATTTTTATAAATAAAATGAAAATACAAAAACATTTCACCTGTGCGCCATCATCAAAGCGCACGTAAAGCTCGTGTAGGGTTTCAACGAGACTTTTCACATCCAAGGTGGTTGTAAGCTTGGTGTAGTTGACAATATCCGCGTAAAGAATTGTCACATCGTCATGCGGCTCAATGAAAAGCTTCCTGAAACAACCATGAAATATCAAGAAGCTCAAGCGTTATTTTTTCGTAATGAGAAGGCCACAATATAAATTGGTGGTGATGTAACGGAATTTAAATGATAAAAAAACAAGCTCTGAACTGGCACAAAGTCTGTCAGAGTTTTATATTATGCCAAAAACTTTGTTTTAACCTTATTTTATCTAAAGACGTTGAAAGGTGTGGATTCTTCATCAATTCTATGCGCAACTTGACATCATCTTCCATTTGCTTAGCTATTTGTTTTGGTATCATACTCAATAGCAGATTTTTCTAAAAATAGAAAATTATTGTTGAATAAGAATAAAGAACTCTTGCAAAAAGTTTTTGAACTAAATTTTTTTAATAAAAAATATTTTTCATACAAAAAAATTACAAGAACTGCTGGACAAGATAACACACCGAAAGGCTTTCAACGCCATTCACGGAAATTCCATTACCACTTTTTCCAGCTCTCTTTCAAAATACGAAGTTCTCGAACTCCAACCACCACCCATTGCCGACAAAGAGCTTAAGCTGCCTCGCGGTACCCAAGTATTACTAGCACATTTATGATCTAGATATAACAGTCGGCCTAATTCCCGCTCATTCATAATTGACCTCGTTATACCCGACGTACTTGCATGCATAAAGGAACCACCATACATTCAGCACCACATTGCATGCCCCTTTAGATCTACTCACCTAACCCCCCTGGTAGAGGACCCTGAATGCCTTGCCTAGTCTCGTCAGCTTTTAAGCGGGGTTGGATAGCCGCTACAACATCAACAACAAAAATGGTTTCTTTGGCGAGAAAAAAATTAACAAATAAGCACTTATGAAAAATGATCGTCTTATTAAATCTGCATATCTAAAGAGAGATTTGAAGAAAACTACTATTGAAACGAAAAAAATCTTACATCGATTTGCGACTGTTTTTTTTGTATTTTTTATTGCGCGTATTACCTCTTGGTCCTTCGCTGCATGAAACAGAATATCTTCCTCTATACACTGCCGCTTATCAAGAAATGTCATGCGCGTAACCGCTTCCCGTGCCAAACGCATAAATATGCCAAACAAATTCATACAAATCATGCCGACGTAGAAACTTGCCGCTTTTGTTGGATTTCTAAAACTCGGGGAGCCTTGGTTTATCCAGACATACACTTGTATCCGCAAGAACACCACATACACAGCTGACACCAAAAAGCCCAAGATAATGGCGAATATATGGCTCGTAATCGGCAGAAAACAGTAAATTGAGAAAATAATGAAATTTATATAAACCGGCAATGTGACACTGCGTCGGTACATATGCAAAATGGTCACTGAGGTGTCTGCAAAAAAAAGTGGTTAATAATAAAAATAAACGCAAAACGCAGAAGAAAAAATTTTTATATGTTTTTAATGTTTCTCTCCATCGCATTTCAGCTTACCCATGAGCATCAGCAGTATGGTGGCCACAAATGCACACATATTCGCGACCAAAGGATACACCTTCGGCGAAGTTTGCTTTAAGTTGAGTGATAAAATGATGATGGTCAGTATAGTGCCGCCGAGATATACGCTCACATCTTCATATACATAATCTCTTTCCTGCAAATACATACAAATATTATTTGTTTAAAAAAATTATTTATTTATTTTCAATTTTCTTTTCCCTTATACCTCTGGGTCAAGTGTGGCTAAAAGTAGTGCAGAATGTATGCCTGTGCAGAATATGAGCATCGTCATAAACGAGTATAACTGACTTTTATGCAGTCGCCGCATGTAGGCCATGTAGAACTCTTCCAAATCCTTTTCTTTACACTGCTCCTGTTTATATAATTCGTTAATTTTTCATTTTACATTCATGCATATTTTGAAAAAAATTTGTTTACTCTCAAAATAGTTAACTCCCACTTCCGTAGACCCCTCGAATGATCCGCCATTTCTCTGGAAAATGATACATTTAACGATTGCGCCATATCATGACGCCATATAGACCGCCTTGAGGACATTTTAATGAATATATGACAATTTTCCGCTCTCAAATTTCTCAAAAATCTGAATATTTTAAATTTTTTTATGTGTTTTGATTTTATATCAGGAAAAATTAAAAGAATGTGGAAAAGTCGCACAAAGAAGACATTACATATACAAAAGTACGTACATTCAGATGGTGCCATATTTACTGAGCTGCTTTTGAGTTCGCTATAATTTTTGGGACAAAAATATAGTTAAAGATTTATATACTTATGAAAGAGGAGCATAATTAAAATGTAAATATTTTTTAGGCCGTATCAAAATTTTCGTGAAAAACTTAAGATAAAATCTAAGCTATTTCTATATTTTTACTCAAACTGGTACTGCGACGAGGGATAAAATCCCATAATTAAGCATCAATTGATTCAAAATACTTTTTTCAATATTCGGAACTATGCTTATTCAATTTATAGTATAAGAATAGATAGTCGCAGATCGGTGATCGCTTTCTCGTGAGGAAGTATTATTTATATTTGGGGCAGAAGGAATTTAGTTCAAGGTCTCTGGTCCGTTTCTATGAATATTTATACAAGCCATCCATATTTTAACTAAAAATAACCATAAATATAAATATAAAAATATTTTAAACAAATCGGCAAAAATAAGAACTTAAAGCGAAAAATTACCTATAAGTTAAAATTTTTCGCAAAACACCATCTACCAAATGTACAGAACCCAGTCCACTTTCCGGTGGGAAAAGTATTTTTCAGTTTATCTATTCAAGAAGCCACCTATATGCCGAAATTCAAGTAAAATATTATTTATTGGATTTTTTTGAAATTTCATACCCTGCTCCACATTCCGATATATATAAATTTTACAAATTTTTTGTTGTACAGTATGACTTATTATCATTTATAAAATTTTGGTGAAGTGCACTGGAAAAATAACTAAATATTTTCTAATGTTTAGAGTTCCAAAAACACTTATTAAGTTTAAAAAGCTTTCAACCATGAATGCATGTAACAATTTTTATAAAAGGAAAATACGCTTTTTTTCTCAAAAATACTTGAAATTGTATTTCACCTGATTAGAAGTCGTTTTCCTCTCTGAGTATTGGATGCAGGTAAATCAAGTTAAACCAACTAGTCTTTTTGCTACTTTTCGCACGTCAAAATTCACTTTCTCACAAAGCCATTTCCTTTCTTCTGCAATAAAGTTAGTAACACTAACAACAATAGCAGCAGCAAAATATAAATAAACAAAAAATAAAAAGTCAATGGATGTAACCTTTGAGGAGAATCGAAAAATTGGAGATTTTGTGCTTAAGTGAATGTCATACGTCTATACACACTTATCAAAGTGTAATCCTTTTTATGAGCTGCCACACGATTGGCACGTAACCAACAACAAAGCGACTAACAAAGTGAGCACCTTTATGCACACAAACAAATGTACGAACATAAATATGACATTCAAACAAGCCGTCAAACCATCAGACCGTCAACGAACCAGTCAAAAGAGCCGCAGACAAACACATGCACATATTAATATGTACATACATCTATATCATGTACTTATGTAAGTTGTGTGTGGTAAATATGTACAGTTAATAAAGTTTTCCAAAGTCTCGCGTTGACATAGCGAATATGAGCCATCGCCGGATATGAAGGGCTTATCTTTTAATCGATTTTAAAGTGACACAAAAGTGTTTGGGCAGGATTTCACTTAAGCGCCATTTTGTTGCGCTCTCCTACATGAGATATATACATATACTCACATGCACATATGCTTACATATTGAAGCACATACAATCAATTATTCACACCCACACCCGCAAGGATTTTTTCCTGTCAACAGTTTTTGTAAAGTTTTCCCCATAAACACATATGTACGAGTATATCTATGTGCTAACCTATTTACATATATGTAGCTATGGATATTTGTTGTTTTTTTGTGCTCGATTAAGTTTCAAATTTATTTTATGGGCTGCAGAACGCTTAACAGTTTTGTGTGGCCTTATTGATTTAAATGCCTCAATGTATAACAAATAATATTTATTATTAGCGGACTGGAATAAAAAATTGTATTAAAAATACTATGGAATATTTGCTTCAAAATTTGATGTTTTTGGGTTTTCATAAAAAATTGCATGTAAATAATTTCGATCGAAGAGACTACTAGTGTGATGGCGGCTTCAATACATTTCGACCAAATTCAGAGACCTGGACTTTTATATAAGATGATTCTGAGCGAATGATATACTGTTGCGAGAACCTTTTTTATTATAAGAAACTACTGTCGAAGGCGTTGGAAGTTGGTCTGGCCTATTTTCGAACCCATCATCTACCCTCCAATCAGCTTACTCTGTTTAAGTGCAAGAAGAAGCTACTTATAAACGCTATATCTACAGCTGCAATATCTCCAAAGCTGATGAGGTTGCAAGAATGGGCAACTGAAAATTAATGGGAGTGGTTCCGACAAACAAAGAAGCTCGTAAACGCTGAGCAAATTTCACGATATAGTGCCAAGTTACTTTCGACCAGACAAAGTTCGTGAATATGGCTCCCAATAGTGGCCTTAGATGTTTTGAAATATGCTTCCAAAAAAGTTGACAAGCGATTTACAGAGATCAATTTCCGTCAGTCGTTTGTATCGTTTCTTTTTTTCACCCACATTTTTATATTTTATAATGCATATGACTAAAGAAAATTTGTACTGATTTCGATAAGACAAACAAGAATTGTACAAAACAAGTCGAGGGAAATTGAACAGGGACCAAATTATGCCAAAAATTCAAATTTGGCAAGCAGGTAGCTTTATTAGACATGCATACACATGTTTCTTCGGCAATGGGGCTGGGGAAGGCCGACCAGTTTATTTTTATAGGTTGGTCTCCATTTCATAGCGAAATTAGGCGTCGTAGCTCACACATATTTTTCCAGGTTGCCAGGTGGCGACAACAAAGAAAATCGAGTCATCATAATGAAAAGGCAATGATGTTCAAAATTACAACAGGAAGATTAAAGAATTTGGGATATTTCCAATTCTCAACCCATTAAATCTGTTCCGAAAATTCGCCTTCAGCTTATACAAGAAGGTAAAATGGCCCCCTCAGTGAACACTGTTCATAACAAATTGCGCCCAAGCCAATATTCATGACAGGGTTGCATGATGGGAAAAAACGACAAACATATGGAAACCTGAAAATTTTAGGTATAAATTGCTCAGAACCAGTTTAAGAAAAATAAAGTTGCGTATAGCTGAATAGAGACCCCACCTTTGACAAATTTTCTTAAAAATAAGTGTTTGAAACTATATTTGTGACAAAAGGCACGTATTTGAAAAAAATTCCTTTCATTTTTTAAATCTTAGTCCTTCGCTAAATTCCAGAGGTATATATTTGAAAACGTTTCGTACAGAGATCGATTTGTTGAGTCATTTCTGAATAAACATAAGATCACCTATTCAAGGCCGTTTCGAGAAAAGCGATTTTAAATTTCAAAATCGTGAAATTTCAAATTTTTGAAATCAAGGTTTATCTCCGAAATTATTATTTGCATTAATTTTAATTTCAAGAGAATTTGCTTGCAATATATATTTCATATTCTTAAGCCCTTTAATACATATAAGTATATTACAATATATATTTTATATAGACTGATATTTACAAATGCATTTAGAGAGAAAGGAAATATATTTATTTGCCTGCATAAGTTGAATTTCGTACATATCACCATATGCACACCCCTACACCTTAAGTTAATGTATGTACATGCGTACATTATAGCGCTTATATGTATGTGCGTTTGTACAATCAGTACTTAACCACTCATAAATTAATCCTGACAACAAAAATTTATGTTCGAATGAAACTAATTGCTAACGTCAGTATGAAAAGTTTTACTTGTGGCTAAAGTGCGCTCAAAGAAACTTTTGCCAGCAGCAGCAACAACAACTGCAACAACGTCAGAAATAACACAAATAACACTAACAAAGATTTTACTTAAACGCAGTCAAACGAAATGTAGCTGGAGCAGAGGTCATACTCGGCTGGAACTTTCTTTCGTTTCTTTGAAACCGAGACCTAACGCCCCATCAAACGAAATTATTTGTACTATACTATGTGTATTAAGATATATGAAATTATTTATACATATATCATTGAGAAGATATAAAAAACCTAAATTGTGTTACACATAAATACCTTTATCTACCTAAGAATTTATAAAATAGCTCGAGATTTAGTTCGTTTCCATTTAACTTCCTACAACACGCGCTATCGTAAAATGCGGACTAATACTCTTATAAAGAACCCGTTAATGCAAATGAGTTCAACTTTTGTATTTTCGTATTCAAATACCGTTATTCACGTGAGTGTATTTGATGCGTTGCTTTGCATGCCTTTTCTACACCTCTCGCCAACTCGCACGTATATTCGGTGGGTGTTATTATTGTTATTGAAAATTTATAGCGCGCTAAATGTTTAAGCTCTTAGGCTGCTAATCTACATATTTTCGACATAGATTTGCATAAACAAAGTTGGTCGTTGCATGCGTGTGAAGCGGGCAATGTATATGTAATAAGAGTCTTACAAAAAAAAAATTACCTTAAATTCGGCGTAAGCATTGTTTTTATATTTTCTTTATTATTTAAGAAGAATTTTGGAATTTCAATAAAAAAAAAGTATTACTTATAACATATAAATACTTCTCAACTTTTTTATTTTTAGCTCAAAATTTTGAAAATAATTTCTTTAACTTAATGCCATGGAAATTTCGTAAATATCAAATTTACATCACCTTAGTGGTAGAAACATACTTTTAGGGGCAACTTATTTGGGTTGTTGTCTGTTCAGGACACTTTATGGGTCTGTTTCAAAATTAAAGAAATAATTTTTCATTACAATTATTCATTACTTTTTTTTTAATTTTATGCTTTTTCGGTAAAATTGTTTCCTACTCTCGACGCCAGGGTATTGAAAAGCTTTTATTTAAATTAACAGCAGATCTTCCAACATTTTTTTTAAATTTTGATCAGTTAAGAAAAAAATCTTCGAAAACTCAGAATTTTTATTAAAATATAGATACGTTCTTGTCAATATTTGGACAAAAAAAAAGAAAAAAATATCGTAATATTTTATCAAACTGTAACCCTCTTCTGTGCTCTGCTATTCTTTTTCATCTTTGCAAGGATCATAAAACTCCTCTTCAGTACCACGTATTTTTCTGGAGCATGGATCTTCCGTTTTGCTAATACCGCACATATCATCTTCTATCTTTTTGTTTTCCTCCTCACTTCTGAATGGATTGTAATAGGGTGTTGCCGGACTAGGCCTCTTACTCTTATCTTCTTTAGAAGGCGTAGATTGCCGTTTGGAGTCGTCATCCTTAGAGAGTATTTCTTTGGGCTCTGCATTAACCATAGTTAAGCTGTTTTTATCCTTATTTATGATTGTTTCTTCCTTTTGCTTCTTGGCAGCATTACAAGGTGAATTGGTTGCAACGTCGGAGTTGTGGTCTTTGCAGGACTCGGTGTCGTGGTTTTGCCTTTGCTTGGTTAAGTTGCACGAAGAAGATTCGTAATACTCCTTTGCCTGAGTTGTTGGCTCAGTTTTTTTAGTAATTTTCTCCACAAATGGCTTTGCGTCTTCCTTTGCCCCAAACCGTACACCACAGGGATCCAGATATGTGCTTGTCTCTTTTTGTTCATCTTTAGTGTTGCATGTGATATCTTTTTTAGCCTTTCTGTTTATTTCTGCAAATTTTTGAACTAGCTTTTCAGAGCTCTTTGTTTTCAGCTTAGATTTTACTTTTGAAACTGCTTCTCCTGTCTCTTTCTTAGGGCCGAACCCAACATTACAAGGATCAAGGAATGCAGAAGTGTCCTTTTCATTGTTGATTATCTCGTTGGGTTTGCATAAATCATCAGGCAGCTGTTCTATCAGATCACATGGGTGTGGCCTCTTTGGCGGCACAGGCTTTTCTTCCACAGTGTTTGTCTTTAAGTCTTCTCTTTTCTTTTCTATTTGCGTTTCTTTTGTTTCTGCCTTCTCTTTTCCCTCTTTCTCCATAATCTGGCAAGGATCTAACCTAGCTTTCATTTCTTTCGACGTCGGTTTATCTGTGTAAATTTGTGGTTCACCAATTGCCTTCTTTTCATTAGATTTCACGACCTTCTTGGAAATAACCTTATCCTCCTTTGGTTGTTCCTCGAAGGAGGATACTTCTGAAATCTTTGTTTGTGGCATGGTGTCAGATTTTGGTGCTACTGTTTCTATATATGACTTATCTCGTTTTTTAACACCAAATCCAACACCACAGGGATCGAAAAATTTACTTGTGTTCCTATCCCTATCTTTATACGACCCCTTAGGCTTGCAAGTTCCTCCCTCTGCGTCTGCGCTATCCGGCTTATGCTTTACCAAAGCACATGGATGTGGTTTCTTTCGTAGCTGAACTGGCAGTTCTTGGGTTTCTTGCGGATTCTCAATATTAAGCTCTGTTTCGTCTGATGCTTTCGTCACTGAATCCGTTTCCTCTTGCATAGTTGTGCTATCAGCTGCATCAAACTCAAACTTTTCTGTTTTTCCCATAATATCGCCGGGTTTTATGGGATGCGTGCCGCCACTGACTCCTTCGCCATCACCATCACCTCCACCATCCTTACTACTTTTTTTGAATGTTCTCCTATCAGCCGACCCAGGTATCTGCTCATCGGGGTCATGCGGCCAGAAGAGCGGCTTACGTCTGTATGGTATATATGCCGAGCACTCCGGCCGCAGATTTATGAATTCTTCCATTGTCATTGCGGAATAAGGTTTCATATGACACAAACGCGCTATTTCGCTCTCAAACGCTTTGATACGCTCATTCGATTCGGCGATGTACTGCCTCACTTGTGCCTAGCGCAAGAAGGATTTTATGTTATCAGCGTTAGGTGATCGGTTTGATACGTGTTCTGCATACCTGCACTTCTGCTCGTTGCTTCTCTAACTCATCGTAGTACTTCCTGGTATCCACCTTGAAACGATCATCAAAAATCTTATTCAATTCTTCGTATTTTTTCTCAAATTCATCCACCATTTTTATCGCCTCTACTCTCACATTCGTGCGATAATAATCCCAATCGATTCTCGGCAACTCCTTGGGGTATTTATCGACGCGCCTGAAAAGGAAACCGCATGGTTTTTTATTACATCTTTATTGGTTCGTGTTTGGTGTGGCAAGTTTACCTTTTATACTCGCTGTTCAAATCGAGAAATTTACGAAACTGTTTTGTCTGATTGCTTGGCACACGCTTTGCTAATTCGCCTAACACACTTTTGGTGGCATTACTGCCGGCCATTCGCGAAATTTCTATATGGAAAAGATATTTTGTTGTAAAATTATATAAAAATATTTTTTAAGCGAAAATTTCTAATAAAAATTTATTTTCCGCTCTGTTAAGGTTTCAGTTATTGGGAATAGAAAGCTGACTTGATATATTTAATAAAGCCTTCTGAAAGTATAGATAAACATAATTTATAAGTTCGTTAGCTCTTGGCCGGCCGCGCTAACCGAACGGATAGCATAGTATACTGCCATTCTAAAGGCTCGGGTTCAAATCCCGGGGAACCAACATCCAAAAGTTATAGAAAATTCATTTAAATAAAAAATTAATCTAAACTTTCTAATTGCGGTCGCTCCTCGCCGGGGAATGTCAACCCCTCCGAGTGTATTTCTGACATGAAATGAAGGTTCTTAAGAAAAAATCATCAGCCGTTCGGAGGCGGTTAGTAACGCTATAGGTTACTCCATTTTTTGGAAAAACATCAAGCCGCAAAACCACTAATCGGAGGAGGATCTCGGCAGAGAATCGCTTCAGCGGTTACAAAGCCGCAAATATATAGCTCTTGGGCAAGGATAATAAATAATTTGCCTTGATCTTGGGAAATAAAAGACAGGAGGGAGTTTGTCTATTATCAGCATTACGACTGAATACACACATCGATAGTGACTCGCTTTAAGAGTTTGATTGGAAGGTTCTTATGCATCCGCCTTATGTATAGTTTAGATCTCGCGCCACGTGATTAATATTTGTTCTTGTCAATGACCATTGATTTGGCTGGTGAATAATTGGCCTCAAGAGAAGGCTGTGAAAATCGATTGTGCCAATTGTTTGCATGATGAGAGAGATATGATGGAGCAAACCGATGCATAATTGACGTAAATCGGATGTTCTAAATGCGGAAATAATGCTTTAAATTGTATGCACAAGTAATAGATTACTTTTGACTAGACCATATACATATGTGTCTATATTAAATTAATCTTCTTTTTCAATTAAAATATCCCATGAAAAACGAGACGTCCTATCACTTGAATTCATTGATTTCAATAGAAACATAATGCTCCGGGTGCTAGAATACCACAAGCGAAAAATACATTTGATTAAAAAAATACTTAACAAAGATGGCTTCAGAAGCTGAAAACCAAACTTTGATTTCTCAGAGTCGCTTAAATATGTCACTGTTAATCAGCTTAAGTTTAATCACGAACCTCTATGTTACCACCCACATATATCAAAATATTATCGCCAAGTATTTCTATTTAATTCTCATTTAAAATCATTTGAATTAAATTTAGCAATGACATAAAATATATTTTTATCGATGATTCAGATATTTAAAAAACCTTTGAATATCTTTATGTAATCGGTTTTCTATATTTGAAAACATATAAGGCTCCTCTTCTCTGATATTTCTCAGTTGCTTTTAACTGCACTCGAAAGAACAGTTCGGGGAAGCACGCTTCCTGTTGTTGATAGTGACATTCTGGCCCTAAATACAGATGAATCATTAGGAAATATTTCGTGTTCATCCATTCGTTGGGTTGTCGAGCTGTAGACATTTGCGCAAGTTGCTTTTATAGAACAAGGCACATTTTCATTATTGTCTGACTCATGAGTTGGCTCGGCATCGGAGTGAACCGAGTTTCCTGCCCCATTACGCCTCTCAAGATTACCCTTCTCCATCAAGGACATTGAATCTATATTTTGCGTTTTCGTCACTCGTCTAGAGGGCAGTACGTTACGCATAAGTAAAACATCCTTTGCCAAACGTTGCTTGTAATCAGTCATCAACTGCCGCACATTTTGCTGAAGTGAAATTTTTTCGAAGCCAGTAAAATTTAATTAAAACGCTTAAATTTTTTGTATTAAACAACAAACCTTTGCCTGGCGTAAGGAATGATTTCCTGTGCTTGGCATTTTACTTCCTATCACCTGATATCTCCGTTCGATATCAGCAACTAATCTCTCAACTTTAGTCTGCAGCTGCCCGTAATAATCACTCCAACCGAATTGTTGCCAAAAATGAGACATTTTCTGAATGCTTTTCCAAAAAAAAAATCAATAAAAAAAATAAATGATCACCAAATTTTCTGAAACCAACCTCTGACTGCTTTCGCCATTTCGTTTGCTGAAACTCAAAAAGTGCTGACACTCACTGGTGCTAAGGCGCTTGCAGAATTTTATGAAGCTGGTTTTATACAAAACTCTACCAGCCATCGTGTGCTTGTTATGTGTATAATTGAAAATTAAATGTAAATAGGAAAAATAAATTATTGTTCTGTGTGCTGCGCTTGTTTTTATTGAATGAAAATATTTGACAGCTTCATGAAATTCTTGCTGAGTTTTAGAAACTTCGTTGGTTTTAATAAAAAAAACAGTATTTTTATTAGCTTTAATTACAGATCGGGTCGAAACCCTATGGACACATATTAACTTGGAACTTGTAATCACTAAAAGTGGATATCACCTGGGTTAGCCCATCTCCTCTACAAATTTATTCGAATAATTATAGTAAAGTACCATAATGTATGTACAGATACACCATTGGAGATCTGTAACTGCTGAAAATTTTGCAGCCGATCTTCTTCTCCAATTTATAGCTCTCCAATTGATGTTTTTCATTTATATGCAAGGTCCAACACTATACATAAAACCAACTCCAAGCGGATTTTGGAGTTTTAAGAGGAGTTTAATTCAATAATTTCGAAAGTTGGTCTGGCCAGGGGTTATTCTCCTCTTCAATTGGCAACAATAGTGCGCATGTCATGTCATCAAGTTAAGCCACATCATTCTCTACGGAGAATACTGCCAAGGGATTGGAGGCCCTCCTCTTTCTCTGCCTCCCCTATGAGCACTGCAAAAAAAATGTGATAAGGGAGCTTGGTATTGATGGCCCAAAAAGTTACTCTATTAAGATCTTCTAGTATTAATTTAATCTCATATAAACATGTGAATTGGCTGAACAGCCTTAAGTCGGCGAAATAAAGTGTTCACTAATATCATTAATGAATAGAGAAAATATATAGAACAGGGCCAAGAATATTCCTCCGAGCAACGCCCGAAAATGCTGAGAAAGCATATGAATTTGTACCTGCAATCTCAACAAAACTCTTAATGGCAGATCAAAATTTACTATTAGCTACTTTCTTCGAGCAATTAGAGAGCTTAGACATTGGTCTGCAATTTCTTAAGTTAATTTTATTGCCTTATTTGAAGACAGCCTTATGCCGACAGACAGACAAGTCACAATTTTTCGAGATAAAAAAAATTAATGTAATCCTCGATATGGACATTGGGAGCCTTTCCAGAGATTGCGCAGATCAAACTCACTTTCCAGAAATGGAGATGACACATATCCTTCGACTCCATCAAAGAATAGCTCAGCTGGTGAGCTTTTAGCTCCCGCTGCCTTTTATGCGGAAAGTCATTTTAGCAGTTCTTCAATGTAAGATGACGGAACATCCATTCCATCGTTAACGATTGCCATTTGGATTCATCGTCCTCGGGCTAAGTATTTACATTACAATCCAGCAAGCCAGGAAATAGTTCCATTCATAAGCTCTACCATCCTCTAACCCTTTTCCATTTTTATTGTTTAACCCAAACTCCATAGGAGCTCTTTTTACGGACTAAATTAATTGCATATCTTTGTTTTAAGTTAATTAAACTTTTCTATTGTTTATCGCAACTTATAATAATTTTGTGATTGGTTTTTCTGTCAGTAAAATGCAAGAGTTACCTTCTCTACTACCCCACGTGCCCTTCAAGCCCACCTATTGCCTTAATTTTTCTTCTTCCCCTCTGGCTGCTTGGCTGCTTTGATTGCAAAAAGCACTTAGTAGAATTGTTACAAAATGTAAGGTGATAAAAATACTTTATTGCCAAACGCATGCATATTCATGCCTTCACCCACATTGTAGCCTCTCCGCTTCACAAGCAAACACACGCATTAGAAATTACCATGCAACCGGCAATGCATTTGACAGAAATCAAGAATGGAATTCATTGAGTTTTACACCTCTAAATTGTGCCAAGCAGAACAAAAAAAGTAATCGAGTCAAAGATTTGTAATTAAAATCAAATGCATTGTATCGAATTCCAGCACAATAAAAGGACAATAAACATAAACCAGGCGCAAGAAATGCAAACGACAACTTGAGAGTGTGAGAAAGAAAGAGAGAAGGAGCTACTAGGGGGTTGCGCATTCCACATAAAAGTGTCATGGGTAGTGGAGTTGAGTAACAACATGAGCAGCGTGAGCAGGGTGAGCAGGTATTGATGGTTTGCTGTTTGCTTTTGCAGCCCTTTGTAGGGCAGTGAATTTAGGTGAGGTACGCATGTATGTATGTGTGTACGTGTGTGCGCGTGTGTTTGTAGAACAGCGCATGAGACGAACGGTATATGGCATTGGTGAGCCACCCCAGCGCATGCGCCGCAAATGTCAGTTGCAATTGACAGCTGAGAGAGTGTCAGCCAAGAAGCATCAGAAATGGGAACGTTAGCATTTGAGAAACACAACAAACAGCCTGAGTGGGTAGCACGGAACAGCTGTGGCTCACATTTCCTTTCTTTTGGTTTATGAAAGCAACCCCCACAAAATATTTGTCACTCTCATTGCAAACACTTTGACAGTTCTAACTATTTCTCTACCACTTTCTCTCTATTCTCTCTCAACGTGCGCTCATTGCCAACACTCACAAATTGGAAACGAAACAAATATTAAAATTGTTCAGCAAGAGATTTGTGCAGCAGTGAAAAATTCTTTACAGATTTTTTTGCAAAACTTTAAAATTTTCTATGAAAACTCTAAGATTCTTTAAATAAAATTGGTGATAAGTGGAGTTAAACGTTTTCGGTATACACTGGTGTTGTGCAAATAATGGAGTCGTTGCAGTTTTGCAGTGAATTTGTGTAAAATCGGTGAGGTTCTTTGACAAGCGTATGTGTGTGTGCAGCTGTGCGTTTGGCCAATTTGGGAAAACGCTTGTGCTTGAAGGCCTATCGTGAAATTTTATGTACTTAAAGTCTCATTTGCTTAGACACATCCAACAAATATTACATAAAAGTGGCTAAACAATAAATGGCAAATGAAATTAATCGTTATATAAAAGTAAGGTTTGTATGTATGTCAACAACAATGTATGTATATTAACAGCGATTTGTTAACATTTTGCATCTCACATATATACACAGATTTGTTTACATGCATATTTGTATGTACATCTGTACTTGCAGCTGCGTATGTATGTTTGTATTAAATTTGCTTGGCTTTTCATACAACAAGTTCCCGTTAACTCCTTTCTTTGACGTTTGCCGCAACATTTTGCCATTTTATGTAACTCTGAAATTTGGTTGTTTAGAAATATTTTCTAAGGTGTGTTTACCTTCCTGGCTGTGTGTTTCACCAACGGCATTGCCAACGGCACATTTCACATGAGTATGCAAAGAATTTTATGCGCTTATGGATTTTGTTTGCTTGTTTGTGACTGTAAACATCCACCAGCACCGCAAATATGCCAAATTTTAAAATGACCAATCTCATTTTCGAAAACATACATACGTACAGTATGTGTGTGTATGTATAATTTGGATACACACCGTTAAAAATACTATTGGTGACAATTAAGGATTGGGAGATTTAAAACAGTTTTTCATAAGGTTTTTTGTTTTTCAAAGATAGAAATTTTGAATTATCAATAAAAGTAATATTTGTAGCATGTTTTTAGGGGTAGTATTTACTTTTTTAATAACTTTCTGCTGTTCTAATACAGGGAAATGGAGGTAAATTTGAGTGTAGATGAGTTCGCCAGAAAAGACGTTACAAAGCAGATTCTTCCCAATAGACAATACGTCTTTGTCTTTTGCCACCTCCAAACTGTTACTCAAAGAATTTTATCTAAGAGACTCTAGCAGTCCAGAGGGTTCTGGCTATGGGCGGGCAGAAGCCTATCTTTTACGGGTTTCCCGAAGCTTGTGGCTCATCATTAGGCCAACAACTGTTCCGCAGTCCTTCTGTGACCGTGTAAACAAGAAATGAATGTTTCATTTGTTGCAATTGCCCATGATGTTGGTAGTTTCGCATGTGGCCAATGCATTCCGTCTCACCGTGATACGTCATCCAGCTCTTTCGGAAATTTCATTACAGATCTTTTCCAGTGTCTCGAAATTAATTATTCAATGAAAATTATAAAAGAATTAATCAAGCGAAATTAGTGAAAGATATTGAACCTTTGCAAGTAGTTTTTCCAGCTAGTATATATATAACTAACGCTATATTAGTCATCGAAACTATTAAATCTTTCAGAAAAGGATTTCAACTAAAACCAAAATTTTATATTTAAAAACTAAAAAACGGAATTAGAAATTTTAATTTTTAGAGTTAAATTAACCGTTTAAGCTTCGTTCAATTTGACCTGATATTGCTCCTTTATATTTAATATAAAGTTTTCTTTTGCCCCGGTGCCTTTATATTCATCTCTAATTACTATGTTTTGAATCTATCCAAAATTTAATTAAACATTCCTAACTACTCCAGAAATCTTAAGTGTTTTTTTTTTTTTGAATACAAGGTCTTTATATAACAGTAATACTTGTTTGCATAATTTACAAATAATTTCAAATAACTTTACATTTTTTTACAAACAGATGTCAATAAATATAACTCAATATCTGAATAAACAGGCTTACAACTTTCGTATTCAGCAGATCATTGCTTAAATTTAAAATAAGAAAAATTAAAGCTAAAATACATAATATTGGGAAAATATTTAAGGTATTGCTATAAAGTCACAATGATAAATATTCTTGCTAAAAGTTAAATGGTTTACTTGCAACTTGCAATTGGAAAAACGTAAAGAAAATATTCATCGGTTTTTTTTAATTTAAGGAAATGTTAATAAATGAATTCACTACATGATCTCATATTCACTTTTAAACTATTTGTAACCAATGCTAATTTATTTAATTTTGCAAAAAAAAAAATTGCAAATTTTGCCTGTTTCTACTCGCGAAATTTAAAAGTTTTTATAAGTTTCGGCAGGGCTGATCGCTCACAACGAATACACTTTTGAAACTTTTTTGTGTCCGCCCTTGGTTTTCATAATAGATGACTTTTTACAACTAACGTTTTGAAATTTTTTCACATTTCCAATAAAAATGAGCCCCGAAGAATAAATTTAAAAAAAATTTGCTTCTTCAAATTTAAAGTAACTCTCATTCCAAATTACAAGTATTTGATCCCTTTTTGAACCCCACGATGAGTAGCTTGCGAAATTCCTTCTGACACGCAGTATCAACCAACCTGCCATGTGAGAAAATTTCGATATCCTTTCAAAATGGAAATCCATTGACTATAATATATAATATTTCTCCTCATAATTTATATAAAGCACTTAATTTTTTTAAATTATCAAAATGTGAGTTCTAATTTTAAATTTTTTATTTTCCAAAGTTAAATGCACGTAACTTTATTACACTAATTAAATTAAGCGATAACAAATTTCTTATAACAATATTTCTGTACATGCGGATTTACGTCTTACTTACGTTCACATAGATTTATAATAATAATAATAAAATTTCGAAAATATGCAAATATTTAATTCACGCGGTTATTTATAAATTTATTTTAATTTAACATATAACCATTAGATATACATATGTACTTAAGACCCCAGACAAATTTAAACATAAGAAAATCAGAGTGTAAAATGATCTGAAATTTTGTCTTTAAAGTATTTTCCTACAGGGCCTTATCAAGTGGCTATACTTTGTAGCTACCAAGCACGTCATTTCTCGCTCTCATAGTTACATTACACCATCAACCCACCTCGGAGCGTTTCGCAAGTGATTTTATGCTAATATTATGGGTCATTGGGATTTGCAAACATTTAAGTGCTTGTTAAACATTTCATTAGTGTTGGTGTATTGGTGTGTTGGTGTGCAAATGCCTGCGGATAACATTTTAAGCGCCGCAGTTAGTTAATATGTACAGAACATAACTATGTATTTACACAACTAGTTGGGTATTTACCTGCGCATATACATTTAGACAAAGATGAATACAAATGTGCGTGACACGAAGAGCTAAGCAAGTTAGCGTTAACTCCTTCAAGCGGACTTTTGTATTTCTTTGCAATTCGCCTTTAAGTACACACCTCACACTACTAACGGTAGCAGCAGTCCCTTCACCGAATTACATTCCTCCAGCCAAGTTGGATGGCGGTTTTCGTTCGTTCGTTTGGCCGTTCGATGGCAGCGAAATGAATGGCTGTAAATGCAGGTTGTAAATTTACAAAAGGTGTTTAACTTAACTTATTTCCTACTTAATATTTTATGTTCGTGTATTCCTAGTCAAGTGGATTGGGTTTGCTGAATTGCTAAACTGCTGAGCTGCTGAGCTGCTGAATTGCTGCTTTGGTAATTTGAGTACTTTGTTTAACTTCATTTTGATTGCTGCAAATGGTTTATCTTCGTTATTTTCCAAGGCTTTATAGGTCAATTGAGTAAGGATCTTGATAAATGTGTACATTTATACTCCCTCGGTATTTAAACATTTTTCTTTACACCATACCCCTTACCTAATAACGAAGAATAGACGGAAGAGCTGAATACATCGTTAAGCTAACCATGTGTATACTGATGGGTCTTAATATGTGTTTCGGCGAAATTCGTTTAGTTTGTGACCCCGCCACTAACCAAGGTAGCTACTAAGCGATGATGGTGGGCATTGCTGAAGGTGTAAAACAAGCAACCGCTTTAAAGACCAATTTTTTATGATTTCTAGTAGGCAGTCAATCGTCGAAGCTGTGATCAGCGCCTGTCTACACCTTTAGATAGCGAAAATGTGAAGAATTTGAGATAAAAGAACTCTAAGGAAAAATTGGCCAAAGTTCTGTTCAAAAAAGAACGCAGCCACGTTGACGAAGGGTCGGCTATTAACTGAAGAAGTATTGAATCAATGACCCGCCATACAAGTAGACTTAAAGTCACTTCTTACCTAAAACACCCACTAAAGCACGCCGAACATACGGGTATACGAAAAAGACATTTTAATAATCTCCAAGGCACTTGCGACACATGTGCCACTGACATGATTTGCGAAAAAATGCAATAAAAAATGTGTCAAAAAGTCTGTACGTAAATAAACATTTATAAAGCGAATAAAAATATAGAAAAAATAAAATAAATAAAAACTCAAAGGCAAAACTCCCCTATTTTAAGCGCGCACAGACTTGGATGAAAGGGAACCTAAATTTATAAGAGCAACAAAATGGCACTTACTCTTTTATAGACACACTTGTTTGTGAAAATATGATGAATTATTGTATCATCACACGCTACAACGTTGGCAGACAGCTGTCGGGTAAAGAAGAATTTAATGAGAAAAAGCTTTCAATTTCCCTTTGAAGTTTAAAAATTGGTTAGAGATTGGGGAGCAAGTGTTTGAGCCAAGCGATATAAAGCAGGTTCATTGCTCTGTGAATAGACAACTTTATATCATAAAAGCATATGGGTGGTTTTTGCGTTTAATTCAGAGCAATCAAATAATTTTTCAAATATAATATACGTGGGAAGTAACAAAGGTTCCAGAAAAATTATGGTTTTTCATAAACTAAAAAAAATTGTTCTTATTTTACACTCTTTAATCAGCTTTTTCTTAATTTTTTTTACCACCAAAAATATTTTTTAGCTTCCTCAAATAACCTTTTTCACCTTTAATATTAAGCCGAAACAGAAAAAAGGTTTGCTCATAGCTTTAGCTACAAAATTATCAAAACTAATTGTACCTTTCGTAATGTCAATCAATTAATTTTTTTTATTTATTAAATAATATAATACATCAACGATCTAATTTTCATCTCCTAATGATTGCTGCTCCACTTTTCCGTCATTAACTCATCATTATATTTCTTTTATATTCCACTCTGCGGACCTTATCGATCAAAATGAAATTTTTTCAATGTTCGAAAACAAAATAAATAATGAATTGATGGCTACCTCCCTCTAATTGACTGAAAAGCGCAGTGCATTTCTTTTTCTAACTTCTTTAAAACCAACCATACACCAGCTGTTTTGTCTCATCTCCAACCCCTCTCTTAACCTGTCGTTTAAATATCTAATTCGGTAGCGTTCTCCAGCTGTGACCATGTCGAAAAGCTGTCAATTTGCCAACCATTTGATGGATGCGGTTGACATGTCGCCACCGGATGGTGGGAGCAACCTAAATACGCGTCCAATAATTATTAAGAATGGGGTTGCCAAGAGATATATATGGATACAAGTTGGGCGAATGTTGAATAAGAAAATGTTTTATCGATAATTTTAGTTAAAATATAGTTTAAGGCGATTTATTTAATATTTAAATTTATATGAAGAACTGAAGCTAACATCTTCTGAGCTATAAATTCTATATTTTTTTTGTGTGTTGTCGGCGTTATCGGGTGCATTATCACTTTATTTCACAGCTACAGCGAAATTCTTGTAGTGTGATCAAATGAATAATACTGTTATTATATATTTTAAGTTGAAAATTCTATAAAAACCAGCTGTCAGTTTCCAATTGTTATTGTGTAAATGAAGCGATGTCAGCCAGCTGTTTATGAAAATGTCTGCATACAGTACATGTGTTACTTACATACATGTATATTCACAACAATGGCTTAGTGCATAGAAAGCCTTCACGACATGTCATGCAAGTAAATGCAAAAATGCAAATTCAAATGCGTATTTGACACACTTCATAAGGGGTTTTCTATAAGCACGCCTGGTTAGCATTCGCATTTGTGAATGAAAATATTTTCCCTGTTTATAAATGTCATACAAAAGTTGTTATTTTGTGCTTTTTTATCTGCGCAGCAAAAGTTTTCAGGTTTATCTTTGCCTGTCAGGCGTGTTGAGTTGTGCGAGGTAAATAAACAGCTGCAGCGAATTATTAAAGCTAGTAGCTTTAAGTATTAGAGTGTAAACGTTTTTTTGTAGAAATATAACAACAGGTCCTTAAACCTATGAGAAGTAGACGTCCTTATAAATAATGATAGATATATCAGCAGATGTTTAGTTTGTTATATTATGTTTTAGATTTTTAATGTGATGAGTGACCTAATTTTTAAATACAGTAAAAGGAAATATAAAAGTATATAAACTTTCTGGTTTCCCACATTTTCTCCGCATTAGTTCGGAGATTTTATTTTTCTCATTTATTCATTTTGACTAGCAAAAAAATCTTGTGACAAAAATAACAAAATTTTCCAAATTTAACTTTAAGATTTCTTTTCTTTCTTTTTATCCCAATATTATTCAGGTGCCCAAGTGACAAATATTCGGAAAAGAAAATGCTAAAGTGAACACGAAGTGCATTTGCCATTTTAATCGACATCAAAGTGTCAAACGAAGAGTGCAAAAGATCAGGTCGAGAGCCAACTACCAACTGCTGCTCGAATTGTCCATTACGAATGAAAGTGGTAGAAGAGAATTAGAAAAAAAGAGCCGAGAAACAAAGAAATAGAAAGTTGAAAACTTGCCCAAAGCACTTTAGCGGCAATTCACTGTTAAAACTAATTTTTGCTGCACTTGAGGTTGTGTGAGATTTTCTTTCACATACCGTTTTCTCCGCATTCTGTATTAAAAGCAATGTAAATTGCGCGGGAGAGAGAGACCAGAGCATGGGTAAACTGAAACATAAATAAACATACGAAAGTGACAAAGTGAAATTGCACAGTTGCAATAAAAGAGAAGAAGGAAAAGTATAAAGTAAATAAAAAGTGTAAATAAAGCAAAATAAAATCAAATGTGAAGAGCTTAAATGCCGATATACACACCAACATACGGATATTAGTGAAGAAAAATCAAGTAACTGCAAACTACGGAATAAATATATGGTATAAAAATACAAAAAAAATAAGTAAAATAAAATAATAATAAAATTCAAAATAAAGTGGAAACTAAAATTTTACCCCAACAAAAACAATAAATAGTGCATAAAGTTGAAACAATTGCTTTACATTGCCAAACAACACACACCGCCTGCAGCAAACTCAGTCAGCAATGGCAGCTGCTGCAACACCGCGCACAAAAGCTGCTGCCGTTGCCGCTGTCGAGCAATTGGAGCAACAGCATCGCCTCCGGGCACAACCACAAAAACAACAACAGCGCCAACCACAATGGCTGCTGGTTGCCGCCATCATATTGACACTGTTTACCGTGTCCATTCAGGGCATTACCGAGGAGCTGTCACCAGGTAAGTGCACACAAAGCTGCAGTAAAAACTCATTGTCCACCCTTCGCCAGCTACTTCGTCGCCATTTTAATGCATTTTTCTACAAACATAGGCTCTTTACATTTTTACGTTTTATTTTACTTTATTTTATTTTATATTTTTTGTTGAGAATTTGTTACTCATACGCCACGCCGCACATGCAATGAACTGGCAGGAGTAAAGTTCAGCTAAGTGAATGTTTTAAAGAATTAAAAGGCATAAAAATAATATAAATAATTGTGCATGGCATTAAAAAGCTTCACAGCTGAGCGTGTGTGTGTGCATGTGTGCAGCAAGTTCCTGGTTGTGGTGAGTAAGTGGGCATTATGTCCTGCTTTTGCGATCAAAAGCAAGCAACGAATTTTCTGCAGCAGCGCATTATACCTTTTTACTCCACAAAAGCAGCTGCAGCTGTCACCCACTTTACTTGACATGTGTCTTTGGGCATTTACTATTTTATTCATTGGTTCAAAATAACACATTTTTTCTTTCTACTTACCAATATCAACTTCATTGAAAGCTCTTTAAATGCTATTACTTTTTCTTCGTTTTTGTATTGCTTGCCGCATATAGTTCCCCATCACTCAAGTGCTTTGGGAAACTAGCTACATTCAGGGGATTAAAATTTAAATGGAAAGAGCACAAATATTCAATAAATATTTGTATATTTTAATATATATTCATATATACATATATATTTATATTTATATATTAATTAATTAGTATCAGTACTTGTATGGAGTAAAAAGCAATCAAATTTGAAGCAGAAATAATTTTTTTGTTTTATGGAATATTTAAGGGAAGTCGTCGATTGGTTGAATCATTCTAAATCCATTACTACAGTATAATTTTAGGTCTTTATCAAGGAATAAACCAGGACACTTATTTAGTAATGTTACGAATTTAATATTTTCAAGTGCGCCTACACGAAAGCACCTATGTAAAAGAAAATGTGTAAGTATAAAACCAACAAACAGGCAGCTAATAAGTGAGTATGCCACTTGAAAGACTCAAGAAATTAGCTTAATTCTGAATAATGTTCACACTTATCCCACGCATGAGACACATCAAATCTGAGCCAACCAATTCATCTTGCGAACACAAGAAGGAATTCAAAACAATTGTCTCTCGAAAGTGTGTGGCTGCTTGAAGCTGTTGCTGCTATCACTCAACAGTTGAGTATATTATTGTTGCCTCAGCCGACAGACTGGCTGCCACACAGCCACTGTCACTGTGGTTAGATTGTCACTTCAAGTCAAACCGAAAAGGATACTATCCATACAAAACCACTAATGAAAGTTAGAGGAGCACATCAACTAAACCACAACCGTTGGCTGTCAAAACGAGCGAGATTCAAAGACAGATTCTGGAGGCAGAAGAGAAAGAAACAGGCACCACTGATTCTGTTATGCTTAACACAAACAACAAGCGCTGAGGAGTAAGCTTTATTTATGATAATAAGGGTACTCATTAGCCTTGTACAACAACTAATATTCGTACAAGAGGAAATTCAAATCGAATCAAGAAAAGTCAGCAAAAATAAAATAGCTGTGACAGTTTAGAGTAGAAATAGCATCCCACTTGCACAAGTATACACATACATATATATTTTTCTATGCAAATGTTAAGAATAAAAGCGCTTGACGAATGTCAAAATTGTCGGTTTGGCGTCGAAGCAGAAACAGAAGTGGAAAGTGGTGTTGGAAGTGGAAGTTTACAATACTCAAGTATACTTGTGTAATTATGTATGAGTGTTGGAGGGATGAAAATCTGCATTTTCCTGAAATTGGGTGTTTTCTTTAAATCACTGTGTCAGTGTGTGTGTGTACATGTCTATGCAGAGTATCAAGTTAATATTCCTTGTCTGAATAAAATAACATTATTTGCAATTATTATTGTTTAATAAGTGTATAAGAAGACATTTATCCCTACTTATAAGATGGGAAGAAAGCAGCAGTCATAAGTAAAATATATGTAACAGTATAAAATCGTATGTATGTATGTATAGCTCCTTGTGCAATGAAGAAAAGATAAATGATTTGTGAAGGCCACAGTAGGAAAGAAATGGAAAACAAGTTACACAGTGAGTTAGAATTGGAGATTTGTCAGCAAAATTTTATTTAATGACATTTAATGGGAGACGAGTTGAGTTTACTTTATATTGATCTTCTCATGTGTTTATAAACTTCTTTACACATCTTCATTTCGAGGCATAGTAATCTTAGGTAAGTCAAAAATCTATATCCATACAAAGTCTCTTCTAATTCGCATATTCAGTCCCCGAAATGGATGACTTCGAAAAATTATCTGGATCTTCTATTGAGTACGCATATTGAGAAGCCAAATAATGTCATGCTTCATTGGAGGATCCAGGAAAATAAATAATTTTCATTATTAATAACTCGTACCGCCCTAATCTTTAGATTGTTCATGTTTTGTATAGAAAAATTGAGTAAATTAATAAATAGGCCGATTGCCAACATTTTAAAAAAGATGAATACATACGTGGCCAAAAACTCATTTCCCGAAATAATAATTAAAAAAAAAAAACTTTGTAAAAAGTCAAAAACAAAAATATGAGTTTGTTTTAGGTTAGTCTTTTTTTCTGTAAGACAGGCGTCTTGTTTGATTTTTTTTAAGGAATGAAAATTTATTACCAAAATAGTTATCGCTGTTCATTTCTGAATTCATTCCTACATCGTATAATAATTTATATATATTTGGTTTTCTTTTCTTTTAGCATTTGACTTTTTACCATATCCAAAGAATTCGACAGAAAAATCTGACCTAGAAAGATTGAAGTTTCTGCTACTGTAATCTTTGAAATATTTTCTCTTTTAACCAAAGTTCCTTATGAGCAACATTAACTAGTAAAGTGTAAGATTTTAAACCCACTGGGCCAAGCTGGAAATGTCGAAAAACCTTGCCCGTGTCTCCTGGCTGCAAAACGAGTTGCATGAAGACGAAGTGCGAAAAAACAATATTTCCACAAAGAAGAAAAACATGAGTTCAGGCAAGAAAAACACAAAATACTCCGCTTCACGAATATACTGTGCTTAAGTGTGTGTGTTTTTTTTTTTTTTTTCTTGTATACATACATAGGAGTATACGTACGAGTACGAGGATGGCAGACGAACGTGCAGGCATGCCAAATCAGAAATCCTTACGCTTCCACGCTGCTTAAGGCTCCTGTCAAAATTATAATAAGATGCTTCATAATCAGAAATTTTCAATTTTCCATTTGTTGCGCAAGATTTGAGTAAAGCCAAGATGAAGAGGTGTGGGAGGATGTGGCGAGCAAGTGTCAAGAAAAAATCTTTACAAAAACACGCACACAAATACGTACACAAAAGTGCGCTCAACGGACACGTCGTACGCTTTTTTTCCACTAAAATCAGAAATACTTAAGTGGGTTAAAGAAAAATAAGAGTAAAAAGTAAGCTAACTCAACGAAAACCAAAAAGCTGTGATAAAAGCGAAAGTGATTGAAAAGTCAAGTGGGATTGGATTTGTTGAATGGCGAGCAGTGAGTACAAAAGTAAATAAAACTCATTGAAATAGAAAATATTTTTTTATTAAAAATAAATAAAAATAATAATCTCTTTTTGAACGTCTAAAAAGCCGCAAGGCATTAAGAGTTGCTTAGCAATACAATGACAACTACAAATAACAAATAAAAATTTTCCGAAAGCTTTAATGAAGAACGACAAACAAATTGAGGGCAACGCTAATAGCCGAGACCACAGCAAGAAGCAACAGTCTCTGCACACAAAACACTCTGTTTGGCGCAAATGATAAATTGACAAATGTATTTGGGTCACAGTACAAGGCATTTATCATCATTTAGGCCGAGCACAGGCTCACGAAAGTATGCTACATAATGTGTGGGTCTTTAATGCACTTCAACGACAATGCGAATGGAAAGGAAGGCAAACGCAAGCAGAAGTGCCAGATGGGAGGCAAAACGGAAATTAATAATAAGCGAACTTGGCATTTTCTAGCTAAATTAAAAAAAAATCAACAAATATAGTCGAAAAAGCTTCCTAAAATATTTTTTTCTTTCAAGTCATATTTTCATACATATATGTATATTGTAAAATGTATAAAGAAAAGGCGCGTTTCAGTTCCATGCCGATACGTTTGATACGTTTGATTATTTGTTTACTTTACTTTTTATAGGTAAGTGCATAGGAGTATACCGAAAAAATTAAAACTTTTCAAACATTTAGCAACCTTGTAACATCAAAAGGGACTATTATTTTTCGCAAATAAATTTATTTTATAGCCTCGTTATTTTCGATAGTTTTACAATTTAATGAGTTCTGCAAAGATCAAAGCAAATGGTTGTCGGACGCTGCAAGGTCAAGGCTATATGGGGGATGCATGAACAGTTCCCAACCAAGCTCTCTCAGTATTGAAAAGCCTTGTGGTGCTTCATCATGCTTCGACCATGATCGTTTTTTTTCAAGTCAAGTGGTACCCAAATATCAAGTTATTTTACCAATCCAGGATGTTGTATATGACTATGAACAGTTAGTTTTGGTATACTTAAGTTCTCTCCAATCTCACGCTCAGTTTCATGACGATCAGATTCGATTAAAGTTTTGATAAATTCGTCAATAACTTCACATGCCGAACTGAACGTGGCCTACCTTTGTGTGAAAAATCTCCCAAAAGGAATTTGACAAACCAACTTGACACTGTGTTTCCTTTAAGGGTTCATCACCATACAAATTATGCAACTTTCCGCAACCTGCGCTGCATTTTTTCCTTTGAGGAAGTACCAAAGACAAACCTAGCGAAAATGTTTTTTTGTAAGCTCCATATTAAAATTGATGTTAAACAAATAAAACTCGTATATTCTTTTTGGTTTAGCAAGCCAAAAGTAATAGCATATAACGGTAAAAAAACGGTAAAAAAAGAACTATTAAATAGTCACAAGCTGCGGCGGTTTCTTTTAGGGCAACCCAATAGTACGAGGA